ACAAAAGCAACTGATTTGTGGACATTGATTTTATATCCTGAGACATTACTGTATTTTTTGATGACTTCCAAGAGTCTTGTGGTTGATCTTTGGGGTTCTCCAGGTATAAGATCATATCATTAGCAAAAAGGGAGAGTTTAACCACCTCTGCTCCCATTTGAATGCCCTTTACTGATATTATTTCTTGTGAAGAACATTTATCTAAACCTCAATAAGTCCTTCACTTTCCTTTCTAAAATTAAATGCAGACACGTTTTCAAGTAATATATATAACCTGATCACATTTTTCTAAATTTTTATTTTATTTGCTTTCAATTTATGCATTCTTTTATTGAGGCAGTCCATCTAGCAGTTAAGGAATGGGCTCTGGAATGAGAATGTCTGATTTCTAATCCTGGCTCTGGTTCTGTTTATATACTGTGAAAATGAAGGCATTTTACTTCTTTTTGTCTCAGCTTCCCTGTCTATAAGATGAGTATGATAAAAAGCATTGACCTCTTAACATTGAGAATTAAAAGAGTTTACATATAAAAAGCTTTTAATTCTAATACTGGTCATAATTTTGCTCAATGCTAGTGAGTTTCCTACATAGAAGGAATCTGAGTAATTTTGTTTATACTTATAGCACCACTACTGAATAGCAATCATTTCCCCAACTTGATCTGCAATACTAACATCAAGCGCCGTGTATCAGATGTCTATATATGCTCCATTATACTCCTATGGGGCCAGTGTCATTGACAAATTACTGAAGTGTCATTATGTAGCACATGATTGTATTTGAAGCTGTCAAATACAGAGAGAGCACCTGGGTACTATTTAAGTAAACTGAATTTTTTAAAGAATGTTCATATTACTGATATCTAATAAAAAGTCAAGAAACATGCTAAAATTCATAAGATTTTATAGATTCCACAGCTACAGTCATTGGTAAGCTGCTCTGCAAAGAGGTTATGATCTTCATCAAAGTTGAATAACTGATATACCATGTAGATTAGAGCATGAACAAACTAATGTCTCCTTTTCTTCCAATTTGGACTGTGAAATTAGAAGTCCAGAAAAATATTCCAATTATTCTAGTCTAGAATTATGATTTGTAGCTGTCTTGCAGCAACAGATATATAAAAACAATTCTAGGCCAGACATGGTGGCTCACACCTATGATCCTAGCACTCTGGGTAGCTGAGAAGGATGGATTGCCTGACCTCAGGAGTTTGCAACCAGACTGAGTGAGAACCCATCTCTACAAAAAAAGAAAAAAAGTAGGCATCTGCCTGTAGTTCCAGCTACTTGGGAGGCAGGAGGATTGCTTGAGCCCAAGAGTTTGAGGTTGCTGTGAGCTATAACACAATGGCACTCTACCAAGGGTGACAAAGTGAGACTCTTCCCTCCAAAAAAAAAAAAGAAACCAAACCAAAACCCATGCTGGAATTCCAACATTAGGCAAATAACTTCAGAGCTTCAGTTTTCTCACTTTAAAATCAAAGTGATAATAACTATGACTATAAATGTTTTAGAGCTATATTTCATATATTAGCTAGTCGTGTGCATGTCATCAGCTATCAGGTATGAATAAAATTGTTCAATAATATTCACTGCAGCCCTACTATATGCCTGGCATCAAGTCAGTACCTTATGACTATACAATAAATCTAATTTCAGGCCAGGCACGGTGGCTCACACCTGTAATCCTCTGGAAGTGCAAGCACTGTGGAAGGCCGAGGTAGGTAGATTACTTGAGCTCATGGATTCAAAACCAGCCTAAGTGAGACGCTGTCTCTACTAAAAAATTAAAAAAACTGAGGCAGCAGAATTGCTTGAGCCCAAGAGTTGGAGGTTGCTGAGAGCTATGATGTTACCATGACACTTTTCTCAGGGCGACAGCTTGAGACTGTCTCAAAAAAAAAAAAAAAAATCTACTTTCATTATAGCATTCATTATTTTTATTATGACCTAAAAATATTTAGGTTTGGATCTATAAGGTTTAAAAATCTCTGCATTTTCACTGCACCTACGATATTAATGTAGGATCAATAATAATTTAATACTTTTTAAACGAATATATACCTAAGATGGAACTTGCAATAAAATTATAATTGAAAATAATCATGGACTGCTCTTTTTTTTTTTTTTTAAATGGACCACTCACTCTTAAGAGCACTTTTTCTTTCTGGGGTTTTGTTTTTTTTTTAAATCCAGCAATTCCTTTCATAAAATAACAAAGTTTAAATGCAATAAGTAGGATACAGATTCTCTATATAGTCACTCCTAATAATTCAGGGATTCTATATGAAAATTCATCTACCTACTAAAATTTGTCTAACTCCAAAATCAATCAATACAGCACTTTGAGGGTCACTGATGGACACATCCAAGGCAATGAAAACTTTTGAATCGTCAGACATGCACACTTCCATAGCTGAGACAAAACAGGGCAACGCTCTGCTTTGTTTCATCTCCCATACTAAAAACAAGTATCTTGGGCGGCTCCTGTGGCTCAAAGGAATAGGGCACCAGCCCCATATATGGAGGTGGTGGGTTCAAACCGGCCCTGGCAAAAAACTGCAAAAAATAAATAAATTAAAAAAAAAGAAAAAACAACAACAACAAGTATCTTTTTCTTGGTTTGTATAGTGACACACTTTTTGAATTTTTGTGCTTTTTTGTTTGCAATTTTACTGCCCCCACCTGTAGCACTGAAGTGTTACCTAGTGTTCTTAAGTGTAAAAGGCTGTATTTTTACAGAGAAAATATGTGTGTTACATAAACTTTAGTCAGGCCTGAGTTACGCATTGCTACTGGTAGTGATTAAATATTAATGAGTCAACCATATATAATAGAGTGTCTTAACAGAAACACACATAAACAAGGTTATGTATTGATCAGTTCACAAAAATGCTGTGATCAGAAGCTCATAGCAACTTAACCTCGCATTTCCCCTAGGAGCAATGATTCAGTATTTGCTAATTCAATGCTCTCAATTGTACTTTTCAGAAAACTAACTATAAACATGCATTCCTTAATGACAAGGATATGTTTGGAGAAATGCCTTCTTAGGTGATTTCAGTGTGTGACCGTCATAGCATGTACTTACACAAACATAGATGATATATGTACATACATTTTAACATGGAAAACCAGCACCACTACTGAATAGCAATCATTTCCCCAACTTGATCTGCAATATTAACATCAAGCGCCATGTATCAGATGTCTATATATGTTCCGTTATACTCCTATGGGGCCAGTGTCATTGACAAAATTACTGAAGTGTCATTATACAACACCTGATTGTGTTTGAAGCTGTCAAATATAGCTAAGTCAGTAAAACATATACCATAGTAAAAGAACACCAAGCTAGGCAGTTAGAATAGCGCATATTCTCAATTAATCACCACCTGAATTAACTCTGTGGCTTCTTTGTGCTTCTGTTTACTGAAGTATGTTTGCATGTTGTAGTGGTAAGGTCAACAGTTGGATCGTTTGGAGAGAAAACTCTTCACTTCTAAAACTACAATAAGAGTACTCACTTTGAAGAGTTCCTATTCTTTCTTTATTCTTATTAAGGTCTTGTTGCTGGTTTCCATATTTCAAATTAGATAAGAAGAGATTCTTGTGAGACCTAAACAGAACATGAAAGCTTGTGATTGGTTCCAGAAAGATTAGGAGAACTAAGACAACTCGTCACACAATCTGTCTTCATCTGCTCTAGGATTCTCTACCATAGCTCCCCATCTCTGGTACTCTTTCACTAGTGCCCATTTTAACTTTAAATTTCTTTTTTTTTCCTGAGAAAGTCTCACTTTGTCACCGTCAGTAGAGTGCTGTGGTGTCATAACTCACAGCAACCTCAAACTCTTAGGCTCAAGTGATTCTCTTGCCTCAGTCTCCCAAGTAGCTGGGACTACAGGCTCCAGCCATAATACCTGACTATTTTTTTAGAGATGGGATCTCACTCGAAACCTTAAAGTTTAAGCTTCTTAAAATTTCTGTTGTTAGACTTCCTTTCTTTCATGCCATCTACTCAGAAATCAAGAGCTTTCCTGAAAGGTAAGCCTGTTTGAAAATACAAGATATGGCATAATTTGACGATGCTGCAAGCTGGTGTTAGCTTTTTAATTTTATTAAGCAAAAAGCTAAGGCTCAAAAAGCAGTTTCCCTAAACTTGGAAAACTATATCAATTATCTCCACCTAAAAGGTAAGCTGTTTTAGCTATACTTTTATTCCCATAAATAGTCTATACCAACAGTTATCTCTTTCCATATTCTCTTCTCTCCCTCTCAAAACTTTCTATTGTATTTTCTGGATGCTCTTCACAATTCCTCCATCTGTTTGACTTATGTAAAATCTAGCACTTTCCCAAAGATTCCTCTGTGGCCCTCTCAGTAGAAACTGGTTTCATTGGACGGTGCCTGTGGCTCAAAGGAGTAGGGCACCAGACAAAAACTTCTCAGTGAGAAAAAAAAAAAAAAAGGTGGCGGGTTCAAACCCAGCCCTGGCCAAAAACTGCAAAATAAATAAAATAAAATAAAAAAGAAACTGGTTTCATCTTCCATCCTCTAAAAACCAAAGGAGCCCAGAGGTACAGTTGTTTTCATTTCTTAATAAGTATAACTTTCAGAATTTTGTTTTGGTAGAAACCTCAGCCCTTGAGAATTCATGCCACTGAGGGGTATCACCAACTATTAATTCTTCATAGCCATTCACTATCCTTCTAAACACTTCGCATCATTCAAAGATCTTTCTCCATATCTAAGTGCTGCTGTAAATGAACTACTTCAGCACTATCATGGACAACCCACATAACATCTGGCCTCTCAATTCCTCATGTCTGGTGACCTCCTCTACACCAAGTCAGCTAGCCCTTCTCACTGTTCTACCTGTGATCCCAACTGCTCTATCTTCAAATTCATTCATGCAGAATAGCTGCTCTCTGAATACATTGTATCTGTCACAGCATTTCTAACAGATCAAGTAGAATTTTATAAATATTTAATAATTTAATAAACTGGAATTTGTGGCATCTATCAGAAAGGTAAGGCCCATCCCCTTCCTGCCCCAGCAATATATTTGTGTTTCTATGACAAAGTAAGAGTTTACTAAATATCTGCTTTAAGCTCATGTATTGCCCGCATGTGTATTCCAAAAATGGTCTTGTTAAACCACCCAGAGTCCCAGAAGCAGATGTTTACAATTTAAAATTCAAGCTGTGTCAGGGTCTTCAATACTTGTTAAACAGGACCATGTAAATATTCTTTATATCATACATATTACAACATTTAGGTCTGCATGATTTGCTTCAATCAAAGACCTGAAAGACATAATGTCAATAATGTCAATTTACTTTACCTTGATAAGGATAGTGTACCCCCTGAGGATTCAGTTACTGCAGACTGTGTGTCATTCACACTTCAAAAGAAGAAAAAAAATGTTAAGAATGTAAACAAAAGAAACTTTTCATAAGGACAGTACTTCTCACATAGTCAAGCTATATTTTAATTCATAAAAATGTATTTGGAAAGAAACTCAGAAACACACTCCATTACAACATGGTTAATTTTTTGCACAGATGTGCTTATAAGAGGTATTAAATCAAGCTTCTCCAAACATGAAGTTAAGCACAGTTAATGCTATAATCAAGCAATCATAATAACACACTTTCAAGAACTCTTCCATGGGGTGGCGCCTGTGGCTCAGGGAGTAGGATGCCTGCCCCATATATCGAGGTTGGTGGGTTCTAACCCAGCCCAGGTCAAACTGCAACAACAACAACAAAAACTCTTCCATGGCTCTTTATTTCCATGAAATCAAGTCTTTTTTTAAAAAACAGCTTTACTGAGGTATAATTCATTTCCAAAAAAACACTCTAGGTTTAATGTATATAATTTGATGAGTTCAACTTTTTTTTTTGAGACAAGAGTATCACTATGTCGCCCTTGGTAGAGTACCATCACATCACAGCTCATAGTAATCTCAAACTCTTGGACTTAAGTGATTCTCTTGCCTCAGCTTCCCAAGTAGCTGGGACTACAGGCCCCACCACAATGCCTAGTCATTTTTTAGAGACAGGGTCTTGCTCTTGCTCAGGCTGATCTTAAACTCATGAGCTCAGGCAATCCACTCGCCTCAGCCTCCCAAATTCTGGGATTATAGACATGGTCCACCCCACCTAGCCCTTTCAATTTTTCTAGCATTTGTCAGACTCTTACAATCACAGTTCTTCTCATCCCATTTTTGATTTTTTGTTTTATACCATTCCGGCAAAGCAATTACACTTCTCATTCTATGCCTACTTCATGTACATCCTAATATTGGTCATTTTACATTTTATTTGCCCTGGTTCTGCTTCCAGGATGGTTTTGATATTTGCTTGATTTTTTTTTTTTTTGCAGTTTTGGCTGGGGCTGGGCTTGAACCCACCACCTCCGGTATATGGGGCTGCCACCCTACTCCTTGAGCCACAGGCACCACCCAATATTTGCTTGATTTTTGATATTTACCCTGGCTCTAGTTTTAGTTTTGCTTTCTGTCACTACTGCTCTAAAAGTTCTAATGTATACGTAGTAATGAACAAGACACCAAGGCTACCAAAGTAATTAAGATGCTTCAAAGCTAATTACAAAACTTCAAAGATTCTAATTTAGTGAGATACAGGTAAACAGGTAAGTTATTATCCAAGAGAAGTCCTTTAGTGCTATGAGAGTACAGAAGTGACAACTAATCAGAGAGCTAGGCAAATGTATCTCAAATAAGAAACACTTTGAATGGCAAGTAAGAACTTGCCTTGGAGAGAAAAAATGAGAATTCAGAATAGAAGTAACTAAGCAAAGGTAGAGGGGTGGAAACTTATAAGATTGGAGAGTAGTTCTGTGTTGCTATAAAGTACCATATATGTAGGGAAGGAGGGGTTAATGCTTACAGATGAGACTGTATGTGTGTGGAAAAAAAGAGAACAGGGCTATGAAAGCCTCGTAAGCCATGCCAATAAATTCTCATTCATCTAGTAGGAAACAGGAGCCAAGTTTTTAAGCTGCAAAGTGATTTAAACAGATTTATTTTTGTGGAAGCAAACTCTGGAAGTTATGTCAAGGACAGATTTGTATGGTACAAAGCTACATAATAATTTAGGATAGAAAAGATAAGAATGGATTCAAAAAGCGTATCTGAGATGGGATTCTTAATACCTGAAGAGACAGCTGGATATGTGAGGTCCAGGAGAGTCAATCTGCAGAGTGGCAGATGAGAACATGAAGAGTTATGTTTTATACACACGGAATGCACAATGTCTATGTCTAGGAGCGGATCTGAAATAAGTGGGTGACACTAGGAGAACACATAGAAAAGTACTCATCTGTAAGAACCCTGGTATAAGTTTTTATTATAGCAGTATTACACTGAGTGGGATGGTTTGGCCACAAGAATGTCATGGGTCTTAGTATGATTATGGGTTTAACCATGATTTCCTAAATAAAATGCAGCAATTGAGCCAATAAAAATGGAATCTCTACTTCTCAAAATGGGTTTTAGAATAAAATAAGACTTTATTATTCTAAAAAATAATAAAGGGTACATACAGCCTTTGGGTATCATGGCTAAGATATAGGTACATAGGTAAGTTATTTAAGAGAAGTCCATCACTAAAGATGTCATGTGCTGAAAGCCAGGAATAGAAGGGATTACTAACTGAGCCTCAGTCCAAGTTGGACACCAACTCCATCTCTAAATAAGTAGGCAAGATGGGATGCCTGCAGTACTTAATCATGGGCCCAAGAAGAAACAATAATATATCTGTTGCCAGATATATCCATCTAGAGACCACAGGGATTTGACTATCTGGGTTAGAGTTAAGGTTGGAAGAACAGAGAGAATAGACCTGGGTTCAATCGAAAAGAAGATCTTTATAATGACAAGAGTTGTTTCTTCCTCAATAGAGTTAGTTTCTGAAGAGAAAGATAACTCTTGAAAATCTCTAAAGACAAAATAATTGTGGAGACTGAACTACCACTGTCTCTCAGTATGTAGGACTGATACAACCTATTTCCTTCTAGCATCAGATCAAATCATTTCTTCACACAAAGTGTTTAGCTTAGCTTGAAAGAAGATATATGGATATCATTTGTTCTTTTTTGGAGACAGTCTTACTTCATGGCCCTGTATGGTAGAGTGCTATTGCATCATCATAGCTGATAGCAACTGCAAACTCTTGGGCTCAAGTGATCCTCTTCCTGAGTAGCTGGGGCTACAGATGCCCACCCCAATGCCCAACTAGTTTTTAGGTTGTTTTCTTTTTCCTATTTTTAGTAGAGACAGGATCTCATTCTTATTCAAGCTGGTCTTGAACTCTTAAGCTCAAGCAATCCAGCTGCTTCAGGCTCCCACAGTGCTAGGATTATAGGCATGACACACCATACTTGGCCAATATCAGTATCTTAAACTAGAATAACTCTTAGTATACAGTTAAACAGAATGAGGCATACAACTGGGGCACATGGCAATTAAGGGACACAGGCTTTACAACCTCAAACTCATTACCTCAGTGAGAATGGTAAATGAAATTACCCACATTATTTAAACTGTAATGTTTTCTCATTTTTTTGCTTAGCACATATAATTTGCATAGGTTATGAAATAACTCTATAGTACTCCAAATATCCCAATGTTCATCATCAGTGAGCTACCCACTACTCACTAATTATTGTTAATAATAAAGGTTCATTGACATCACTTTTACATAAAGACAGAATATTCATAAGACAAAGTATATCAATAAATATATTTACAAACCTTTTTCCTCTATCCAAATTAGCTTCAGTTTCCATTTCAGTATCATTACCATTAGGTTTGTCTTCAGAAGTTATTGTCCTTGTTCTTTTACTTTCTACTACTTTTGCTGCTGCCTTTAAAAAGGTTGTGTGAAAGCGGTGAGATGAGAGGAAAATGTATTAAGCCATTTTAAACAAATAGCATTAAATTAAACCTTCTAATTCTTTGATAGTCATAGCTGAAGTATCTACTTATTATAGACCAATGAAGAACACTGTGTTGTTATTTTCACTAATAAATTTGATACCAGCAGCAGCTATCTTAGCCACCTGCTAAAGCATTAAGGAGATGGTCTTTACTTGTAAATATATTTGATATAGATACAATGCTTTCTAGGTAATTTTAAGAAGCTACTTTTTAAAAATTCAATTAAAAATTCCATAGCCAACAGTGTAGCAGGAGCCTATAGCCCTAGCTCCTCAGAAGGCTGAATTGCTTAAGCCCAAGAGTTTGAGGTTGCTGTGAACTATGACACCATAGTACTCTACCCAAGGTGACAGAGTGAGACTGTCTAAATTTAAAAAAAAAAAAAATTCCAGATATTTTGAAATAAAACTACCTTAAATTAACCAGATGCTCCACTATAACAATTAACTTAAAACTTTGAGGCCAAAATAGGGGATAAAATGGTTTTTAAAAAATTTTAACTCTCGGCTTGGCACCTATAGCTCAAGCGGCTAAGGCGCTAGCCACATACACCAGAGCTGGCTGGTTCAAATCCAGCTTGGGCCTGCCAAACAATGACAACTACAACCAAAAAATAGCCAGGCATTGTGGCAGTTGCCTGTAGTCCCAGCTACTTGGGAGGCTGAGGCAAGAGAATCGCTTAAGCCAGGAATTGGCGGTTGCTGTGAGCTGTGATGCCACAGCACTCTACCCAGGGCAACAACTTGAGGCTCTGTCTCAAAAAAACCAAAACAAAACTTAACTCTCTCAGGTCTGCAAAGTCACACTTGGTTTCATCTGTGTGACTTTCATAATACCAAGAGAGAAGCAAAACTGCCTAAGGACCCCAGACTGCCCTTATGGTAGCCTCTCTTTCCTTGAGTGGAATAACAGATCCTGGAGAAAGAGGAAAACAAAAAAAAGTACAGGTCACTCATCTTGTACGATATCTTTCAATTTGTTTTCCACTGATATTTCCTTGTAATTAGATTCAGGTTATGCATTTTGTACAGGAATACTGAGTCTTGTTTTTATATGAATTGGTACTGTTAAATTATTTATGTTACTTTCAAATAAGATTTCAAAAAAATAATTTTTTTTTCAAAATGTTAATAACAAATGAATGACCCTTCTTCAATCTAATTTTACTTTCCCTGAAAATGTGCTCTAAAATGTCCTTAAATTAAAACTAAATTCTGGGCCAGGCACAGTAACTCACACCTGTAATGCTAGTAATCTGAGAGTCTTAGGCAGAAGGGAGGATTGCTTGAGCTTAAGAATTCCAGACCAGCCTGAGCAAGAGCAAGACCCAGGCTGTATTTAAAAACAAAACAAAACAAACAAACAAAAAGCTAAATTTACTTTCTCTAATTTCTTTTAATTCATTCTGATGTTTTCCCTTCAACTTTTTATTTTAAAAATTTTCCCCAAATCTAATTTTGAAAAGTTATAGAAATACTACAAAGACCACCCAAAGCCCTTTTATAAGATTCCCTAATTTTAACATTTAATCACATTCTACTACAAAACCACCAGTCAAAATTCCTGTTAGTTTTGAAGGATTTCTATTTCAAGTATTCTCCTTTATCATAATAAAACAATTGCTCTTAAATCTGTTATTAGAATCGATCTGAAATAATATATATACCTTCATGAGAAAGGTTGATGACTTTTCATTTACTACATCGTTCACATAAGTCTTAATTTTATCCATCATGTGATTGAAGCTGAAGTGTTGAAAAATGGAATGGTATGTATCTTTCTGAGAGATTATCACAAGCAATTTCCTCTTTAAAGGCTAAAGAAAATAGAAGAAATATATTAACATAAATCACACAAACAAGATTACATTACAAACACAAGAAATTTTGTCATATATTACTTAATTGAAAAAATTGTCCAGGTACAATGGCTCACATCTATAATCTCAGTACTTTCAGAGGTGGAGGCAAGAGAATTGCTCAAGCCCAGGAGTTCAAAAGCAGCCTGGGCAACATAGTGAGTGCTGTCTCTATTTAAGAAAAAGACATTTAAAAATTAGCCTGGTATAGCCTAGCTACTCAGGGGACTGAGAAGAAAGGATTGCTTGAGTCCAGGAGTTCAAGGCTACAGTGAGTGACAATCACACCACTGCACTCCAGACTGTGTGACAGAGACCACATTTCTTAGGGGGGAATAAAAAAGAACTAAAGGCCAAGCACCGTGGCCCATGTCTATTATCTTAGCACTCTGGGAGGCCAAGGCAGGTAGACAACTTGAGCTCAGAAGTTTAAGACCAGCCTGAGCAATAGAGAGGCTCTGTCTCTACTAAAAACTGAGGCAAGAGGATCGCTTAAGCACAAGAACTTGAGGTTGCTGTGAGCTATAATGCCTCGACACTCTAGTCAGGGTTCCAGAGTGAGACTCCGTCTCAAGAAAAAAAAGGATATTGTGGCTCGGTGCCCATAGCACAGTTACGACACCAGCCACATGCATCGAGGCTGGCAGGTTCAAACCCGGCCCAGCTAAACAACAATGTCAACTGCAACAAAAAAATAGCTGGGCAGGTACCTATAGTCCCAGCTACTTGGGAGGCTGAGACAAGAGAATCGCTTAAGTCCAAGAATTGGAGGTTGATGTGAGCTGTGACTCCATTGCACTCTACTGAGGGGGACATAGTGAGACTCTTTCTCAAAACAAACAAACAAACAAACAAGTTTTTCTTGAACAATAGTTTTTTCAGTGCTGGCTGTACAATAAAAGCTACAGAACTTGATGCCAGACCTATTATCTCAGTGAGGCCTAGGTTTTCTGTTTTTCTCTTTGAAGTTTCATGGATTTCAAAATGCATAGTGAAAGTGATTATTAGAAGTAGAATTGCTGAATAGAATGCATGCTTACAGATCCTAAAATGCTCTTCAAAATTTAAGTACCAATTTGTACTCCTGGGAGGAAGTTATAGTAGGCAGTCTAATCATTGGACTTATTGAGCCAACTGTTTGTATTTTAAGACATCTTAACTGATGCCAGTCTGAGGGATGGAAAATGGTGTTTCAATATTACTGTTTGGTCCTTGTCCACTACAGTCCATTTAAAATATACGTGTGTCTGTGTGTATACATATACACACACATATGTATATACAGGGTGTACATAAGGTTCGTATGCAATTTAAAATAGTTGCAACTTCAAATTGCACATGAACTTTATGTCCATCCTGTATATATACAGCTCTGATGATTAAGCTAGCAAGGTTAAGCACTTTCTCTTAACCACATAACATATTTACTGGCCATAAGTTTTTTTCTTCTTTGTGGTACAAGCAGAATGGAGTTTTCAGTAATCTTACAGTGCTAAAGAGAAAATACAGGGGGCAGCAAACCCAATGGCTACCAGCTGAAATTTCTCTTTCTCCATAGTTATACACCAGAAACAGGGTCAAATCAGAGACGAAGTCTTACCAAAATGGAACCTACACTCAACGAGGCCCAGTCCCTTAGTAGATTAAGGCAGTCATCCCCAATTTCTATCTACTAGCATATCAAAAGGAGCTCAACCTTATTAGTCACTAGGAAAATTGAAATTAAAACCCAATGTGATAGTACTACACAGAAAACCACAGATAGAAAGTCTATGAAGGCACTGGAACTCTCACACACCGTACTGACATAACTACTTTGGAAAACTGACAGAATCTACTAAAACTGCATATGCACAAAAATGACTCAAAAATTCTATTCTTAAGTATATATACCAAACAGAAATGCATACATTTGTTCTACAAAAGACATGTAAAAGGATGTTATTTCTTCTGAGTAAAACTGCTATCTTTTTAAAGTTACAGCTCAAAACTAGAAAAAACTCAAATGTCCATAAACAACAGAATAGATAAATAGTATATTCATACAATAAAACAATGAGAATTAACAAACTATTGTTACAAGCAACAATATGAATCAATCTTACAAAGACAGGAGAACCTCCATACTTGACCATCCCCTTAAGCAGACCTAATTTTCATAGACCAGACATGAACCACATATACTCAATGGAAGACTAACCTCTATATATATACTGACCACCTCTGTAAGTTGTATCTTGACCACTTACACTGTGACACACAATATTAATTTACCCTCTGTAACTTGACCAGTTGAGTCTACTCTACACAAAGGGATAGAAGGTGTGGGCTTTGCCCCTTAGTTGTATTATTTTTTTCTTTAGTACATGTATAAGTTCTTTTTTCATGTTTTATTATTACTATATGTTAGATAAGGCCTAATATCCAATTGTTTATCATGTGCTACAGAAGACTTTTTCAACATGAAAGACCAGTCTGAATTGTAGGTATATCCTACAAGTACTGAAAAATTTTACAGTTAATTGAGACACAATAGCCCAAAGGAAAGAACTCAAAGAGCTGACACTGAAGGGAAACGTTCTACATTTTCTGGAAAGCAGCAGCCACCAAAATGAGAACATTTTGGTGTTAGCAAGACCACAGTTATCAACATCCAAAACATTAACCTGAGTACTTGGAGAGATATGCCAAGGAAAGCAGAGGCCTACAGCAGAAAAGGAGAACAATGAAGCCATACTAAGCTGGTTTAAACAAATGACAGCAGTTAACCCCCCAATCTCCAGGCTGATGATCTAAGATGCTAAAAAAATTCACACAGGAATTTGGGGTGGCAGATGCCCAAGCACCAAGTGGTTGACTCCAGAAATTTAAACTGCAACAGCTCTCCCAGAAAGACTTATGTTGGCAGTCTAATGAAGTTCCAGTAAAAGCTGTGGTAGAACTCATCAAAAAGTTCCTAGACTTCACCAGAGGCTTCAAAGATGATGACATCTTTAGTGCTGATGAGTAGGGACTCTTTTTCCAGGCCATGACTGACAAGAGCCTTGTTGTCAAGGGTGACAAATGCAAAAGCAGAAGACTTTCTGAAGAACATTTCACAGTTCTGCTATGTGCTAGCTCAACTGGAGAGAAACTGAAGCCTTTGGTGATTGGCACATCGATAAAGCCAAAGGCGTTTAAGAACCTGAAGCCCGAAGATCTCTTTATTACTTGGAGTTCAAACAAATGCTTGTGGATGACTAGTACCCTAAATGCAGTTTATTTGAGGAGCAGATAAGGAATATTGACCGAGAAATAAAGAAGAAATGGTTCATGCTTACTGGCAGTCAACACCTGTGAGTCATGTCACACACATGACACTGAAATTTCTACCTCCAAACCTGACCTCAAAAATCCAACTTCTTGACCAAGGCATCAACAAAACATTAAAAATGCACTACCAAGGGGTGGCACCTGTGGCTCAAAGGAGTAGGGTGCTGCCCCATATGCCACAGGTGGCAGGTTCAAACCTAGCCCTGGCCAAAAACTGCCAAAAAAAAAAAAAAAAAAAAAAGCACTACAAAGCCCAGATCCTGCAATGGGTCATTATAAAACCCAGCCTTGTGGTCTGCTGCATCATTCCTGTTTGAATGAAGTTCAGCCAGAGACAATACAAGAGTGTTTCATTTGGCTTGGTGTTCACAGCTCACTCAGTGGTTAGGGTGTCAGCCACATGCACCGGGGCTGGTGGGTTCAAACCCGGCCCGGGCCTACTAAACAATGACAATAACATTGTCATTCTGGTGGGTGCCTATAGTCCCAGCTACGTGGGCTCAGGCAAGAGAATCACTTAAGCCCAAGAGCTGGAGGTTGCTATAAGCTGTGAGCCACCACACTCTACCACGGGCAACATAGTGAGACTGTCTCAAAAAAAAAGAAAGGAAGTTGAGTTGCATTTATCAGCTCGCCCCCTGTAGCTTAGCAGCTAGGGCACCAGCCACATACACTGGAGTTGGCGGGTTCAAATGTAGCCTGGGCCTGCCAAACAACAAGGACTACTACAACCAAAAAATAGCCAGGCGTTGTGGTGGGCACCTGTAGTTCCAGCTACCTGGGAGGCTGAGGCAAGAGAATTGCTTAAGCTCAAGAGTTGGGGGTAGCTGTGACCTGTGATGCCAGTGCACTCTGCCCAGGGTGACAACCAGTCTGTCTCCTATGGCAACATTTGAGGGCATACATTTTGAAGGCTTTGTTGCAATGGATGATGAGGTGCCAACTTATTATGAACCTGACCCAGAAGCCATTTACCAAATGATATTGAACAAAGTATAGACCAGCATAAAAGTGCATGAAGCAGCTGATGAAGTGGAAGAAACAAATGAGGACTCAGAAATTATAGACTCCAAAAGAATAGGATGTCAGGAGCCTGATAATGCAGTTTGTCATTTGCTGTGGGAAAATGCCCAGATATGCTAAACATTTCAAGAGTGCTTTCTCTACTAATGTTAGGATGTGAAATAAGAATAAGAAACACATCATGATTGATTTTTTCAGAAATAATAAAACCACAAGAAAACAGTAAATGTATTAATTTTGTATGATAATGGATGTATGATTTTACTGTTTTGATTACATATGACCTTGTATAATATTCTGTAATAAAACGTGTAAAAGGAAGTATAGTAGGCCTAGTTGCTTATGTTGACAAGTTTGTTATAGTCCCTTGGGTGGTCAGCTTACAAAGGTTCTACTGTATAAACTTGTTATAATTCCATTAAATAAATTCATAAACAAGTAAAACTAGTGTTGGGTGCCCTAAGTTAGGACAGTGGTGACCCTTGAGTGACTCAAGTGACTGGAGGGCATCGGTGAGGTTGTTTCTTGATCTAGTGGCTTGACACACAAGGGTGCTCCTTTAGTGAAAATGTACTTATACCTTTGTGACATGTACTCCTTTAGGAGTACACTATTATTCAATAAAAAGTTCATTAAAAAATCCTACCCTGGGCAGCACCTGTGGCTCAGTGGGTAGGGTGCTGGCCCCATATACCGAGGTTGGAGGGTTTGAACCCAGCCCCAGCCAGCAAAAATGGCAGTGACAACTGCAACAAAAAAAAACCGGGTGTTGTGGTGAAAGCCTGTAGTCCCATCTATTCGGGAGGCCAAGGCAAGAGAATCATCTAAGCTCAAGAGTTGGAGGTTACTGTGAGCTGTGATGCTAGGGCACTCTACCAAGAATGACAAAGTGAGACTCTGTCTAAAAAAAAAAAAAAAAAATCCTACCTAGTCTAGGTGCAGTGGCTCACGCCTGTAATCTTAGCATTTTTGAGATGCTAAAATAGCCAGACATGGCCAGTAACCACATGTAGCTCCTGAGCCTTTGAAATGTGAGTAGTCTGAATTTGGATGTTCTACAAGTGTACGATATACACTAGAATTTTTTTTGGTGGCACCTGTGGCTCAAAGGAGTAAGGCACTGGCCCCATATGCTGGAAGGTGGGGGGTTCAAACCCAGCCCCAGTCAAAAACTGCAAAAAAAAAAAAAAAAAAAAAAAAAAGATACACACTAGAGATTTTTTAATATTTGTTAAATGTTAAAATAATTTTTTTTTATGTATAGTCAGCTGTTTTTTTGATATATGTATCCATGGGTTCTGTATCTTTGGATTTAACCAATACCAGATGAAATATACTTAAAAAAATAAAAATAATGCCAGGCATGGTGGCTCATGCCTGTAATCCTAACACTCTGGGAGGCTGAGGCAGGTAGATTGCCTAAGCTCATGGGTTTGAGTCCAGCCTGAGCAATAATATGACCTTGTCTCTGAAAAATAGCTGGGCATTATGGCAAGCGCCCGTAATCCCAGCTACTTAGGAGGCTGAGGCAAGAGAAACACTTAAGCCCAAAAGTTTGAGGTTGCTGTAAACTATGGCACCACAGCACTATACCAAGGGTGACATAGTGAGACTCTGTCTCAATAAATAAATAAATAAATAAATAAATAAAAATAAAGTGTCTACACTGAACATGTATAGACATTTTTACTTGTCATTATTTCCTAGGAATATAGTACAAGTATTTACATAGCATTTATGTATGTATGAGGTATTATAAGTAATCTAGAGATGATTTAAAATATATAGGAGGATATGCATGCTATACGCAAATACTATAATATTTTAACTAAAAGAGCATCCACAGATTTTGGTATCCTTGGATATCCTGAAACCAATTCCCTCATAAATAATAAGGGACAACGGTACTGGATTAAATATTATTCAAATTAGCTTCAACTATTCCTTTTTACTTTAATATGGCTACTAGAAAATTTTAAATTATGTATCTGGGTTGCACTATTATTTCTTTCTTTTTTTTTTTTCTAAGACTGAGTCTTACTTTGTCATCCTTGGTAGAATGCCATGGAGTCATAGCTCAGAGCAACCTCAAACTCTTAGGTTCAAGTGATCCTCTTGACTCCCAAGTAGTTGGGACTATAGGGTGTCCACCACAATGCCGGGCTATTTTTAGAGACGGGGTGCTAAATTCTATGGATTTAATTTAAACAATTACCGTGTAAGAATCCGGGTCATCAAATATTCTTTCAAAGACTTCTTCTGCTTCCTTAAAATTGCCATTTTCCATACAAACAGCTATAGCCTAAAAGACAAGGTAAAACATACATAACTTGGATTGATTTTTAAAATACCTAATATCTGTTTAATTATTAAAATGATTTAGTATAAAATACTTCACTTAAAACATTAGAATATAATTTAATAACTTTGATTTGATAAATGATATAACATACAGTACTTTTTTTTTTTTTTT